CAGTCCCTATGATACATGTGCAAACACATTTTCTAGATATACCATTTATGACTATATTAGGTGTAGACATAGGCAAATAGCTGGAATAGTAGGTTGGATTTCTAAAAGAGAGGAGACCATGTGGGTGGCAAGAGACAGTTTGAGGCTCGTGTCTGGTAATCTAATGGTATAGATATTGTGAAAATCATCAAGTAAGAGCATCATAAAGGAATGTTTCTGTAAACAGACAAATAGAAAAAAATTAGGACTGATAAAATTAATATAAGATTGATTTATCTAAAAAAAAAAAAGAAAAAAAAAACCTTAGTAGCATTTTGAATCTTGCTATGGAGGAGAGTGGGGTAGTCCTTCCGTAGTTGACTATTGTGGCGATCTACAGTTCTTGGAGCTATACTGTATCCCAGCACAGGCCCGWTGTTCCATGGTTATTCAAAAAAATTCCCATGTCTTTTTGCAATAGTCCCCTTCACAGTTCCCTGTGCCATCTTGAAAGGTAGCCGTGCCTTTGCATCGAAGCAAGACGAACGGTGAGCTTGTAATGATAGAGACATGTGAATAATTGGTCTTTTGCTTATAATACTTTCTTATGCAAAGCACATGCTTGCTTAATTAACTCCTGTCATTTTTTATATTATTTTATAGCTGTCAAGCAAACTATAAAGCAGCTAATAAAAAGGTCAGCTCGACCCAAAACCAAGGACACAAAGCAAGGGAGGGTACCATATGAACCAAAAAAGGCACCTCCTTTTACTCTGCAGCAGATGAGCAGAATACGCAATTACTGCGTGAAGACAGTTGAGGTACCCAGTTGTGAAGATTCTAAAAGTGTTTATAGCATGCATGCACTTTCATACATTATAATATTATAGATGCTTTTCACAGCAGCTATGTTTGATGGCAGGAACAATGCACTTTTTTCTAAACATGCCTGCTATTATGATGTCACATGAAAAACCTCTATTACTAATTTAAACTTAAAAATTTAATACTATGAATTTTTGTCCTTATTTAATATCAGTAATTTAATAATTATCAACAATTGTCACACACTTAAATCTCCAGGGTTTGCGTGGCTTATGGCTGTGGACAGTCACACTTCTTTCTTTTGCCCTCTTCTAGAGAGGAGAGGAACCTCTCCACTTGAAGATGAAGCATATAAAATTGCCTCACAACTTCTCAGGTACATAATAATGATTTTCAAAAATTTAGAACACAGGAATTGGCACCAAAATGGTACATGGGAAGTACTGGAATATTGTATCGCTATCAGTGAAAAGAGAATTCATTCTGTTCATGATTTTTCTTCTGTAAATGTTTGTTCAATGCAAAAAGATATGATATAAGAAATTACCCTAAAAGGTATGAAGTCATGTTACCTAATTAAAAGGTTCACAGATCACCCTATAACTTGGACAGAGGAAGTCCCCCTTCCCCTCCAGATCTAGTTGTTTAATAATCATAAATTACTGCACTGACATAATACCTGAAGGCTTCTTATCCAAAGTCAATACCTTTTGTCTCAGCTTGTCATGCTCTATCTTTTAAAGCTGAGGGGTTTTGATTTCATTGTATATGTTGTTTTTGTATTATGATTTCACTATTCTACAATTTATTTAAATATTTTATTGCAACTTTAATTTGCAGCTGACTCTGGTAAATGACCCCACTGATTAGAGGTAAAAATTCCATGGTCTAAAGCAGATAAAAGCAAATGGTAAGTACAATCAACACCAAGTAAACATTTTCCCCAATATAAATACACCTTACACAACTATATCAGGAATGCCAACTCTTGCATGTAATTTTAGGATTATGGACCTTGTTTGGTCTCCAGGGTCTTCCAAATCCCATGTATTGAGGCTTTGCACCATCAGTTTCCCGGGGGAGAAAGACTCTATTGTTAAGCTCCTTGTCATGGCTGCCATCACGTGATTAACTGGAATATTGACTAAATAGTTACCATTGTTCTAAAGCTTGTTTTGTTTCACTGTTTCAGTGAATTAAATTAATTCAATGTCAATATTACCACAAAGGTGACCTGCAGTGACCAATTTTCCAGTTTTGAAAAAAAAAAAAAAWTGGGGGGGGGGGGGGCTGGCCTCGTTGGGAATGGGTCTATGGGGTTTTCACATACATGTTTTATAATTTTTCAATGTTTAACGTTGCAGGAGTCACCCTTACGTTGTGGTCTAACCCAATAAACTCAGAGCTGTGTCCAGTTACTGCCCTTTTGGTGTGGCTACTCGTTGAAGGTAAATTAATTAGCCTATAATAAAGAATTCATGAATGCATATATATGTTATCTGTTAGCTGTTCATGAATAGCTCAAATCCAAACTATTTGCCAGACAAAACGTTTTTGACCATATATTTTGTTTATACCCCATTTTTATGAGAAAATTAATTTTGTTCTGGGAGTTCTTTTCATGTTTTCCAGTTTCAATACCTCTTTAGTCAACTGAGCTGTGTGCTGCATTGACAGCATCAGTATACCCTAAATAGTTGTAGTGCATTCAGTTTTGCATATTTGTTAAATAAATGTTTTGTCGCGTTTCCGAACACATGTGGTGTTGGGCACCAGAGTTCGCCAGGTTAACCACTCAGAGTCGATGTACAATAGCTTGGTAGATTTCTTTATTGATAATTAACTAACCAAATTAATTGTTATGACTCACTTGCAGTAAAAACTAAAGAGCGACTAATAAGCAATTATTGGATGGGGTTGAGCATGATATTGTAAATTTTCAAGGCAGCCAAGGTCTTGATATTTACAGTATTATTGTCTTGTATCTGACTACAAATTATTAAAATAATTTTCTTGTCATTAAGTGGAAAGTCAGACTCATTTCTTGGTAGCTACGATAAACATGCAGTAAAGCTCGGGGCCTAGGGATTGAGTGGTCTTTCAGGATAAAGAGGATAGGTGTTACGTTTAAGGGTTCAACGGTAATCGTGGTGTTATCCAACTTATTTTATTATAACTAAAACGTTTTACATACGTTGCTCCCCGCCATGTGGTCACACAGTGCAATCACGTGACCACCACAGGTAGCCCAAACTACATAACAATAGGGATGCTCGTTGACGAGAAATCGGGAAAAAATATATATAAATACAAAGACGATTCAGAAGTTTGATTTAGTTTACGGCACCTATTTAACGGTTTGACTGAATTCACAACGCATCTATCAGCTACGCGATGTACCTATTCCGTTGGTATATGCCTATTCCGCCTMTAATCCGCTAAATCGGAAATCTCTATTCTATACTTTATATATTTTCTTGGCCAGATTCACTTTTATCTTGAAAATTTTAGCGAAACACAAAGGAACTAACCTAGACGTTTGATAAGTAATCTACAGTATTCGTGTCCGTGTTGTATCCAATATCGGATACAATAATGCCACTCATGCTGTTTATATTACATACAGCCGTTTGCAATAAAACTATGGCCGTTTCAAATATAAATACAAGTATATCAAAAGTAAGGGTATGTGAGGTCGGAAATTAATTTTTCCGAAATTAATTCCAAGGGCTTTCGCCCGGAATAACCTCGTTCCCAAGCACTACAACTTACCTATATTATCTTTCTTCAAAAGTATATCAGACACGTTGGGATATCTTTATTGATATTTTTTTCTGAAAGCCCTAGTGATTCACAACTCGAATGAAATATAAGGGAGGTTTTTCCATAATTTTTGACATGCTTTTGATAAACTTGTATATTTTTAAGCGGCCATAACTTTGTAACTTTCTCACAGTAACCCCCATCAGGATCCAAGTGCTCTTCTAAATGAAGTGCAGTTTTCGTATGACTGTGAAAAGCTCAAGGCACGAACACGTTCTTGACACGGTTAGGAATACGCCAGACCAATCACATTGCTCGAGAATTCACTCTCCATCCAATCAAATACCCAGAACACGGCATAAACACGGCGCGGACACAGTCACGCCAAGATCACGGCACTTTTAGACCAATCACATTGCGCGAGGAAAAAAATCAGCCAATTAAAATTCTAGAAAACATCACGGTCACGACACGGCACTGAACTTTTCACAGTCATACGAAAACTGCACTATTTAGAAAATAGTGATAACACAAAATTCCATGAAATTTCCTAGGCTATGTATAAAATTATACGTTCATGGTGTGACAACATTTCAAAGAAGTAAGGTCACACTTATTTCCAGAAACTTTCCTGAAGAAATGGAATCGTTCGTTGAAGACCTTAAGAAAGAACTCCAATGTTCCCTGTGTAATGATAATTTGACTGAACCAAAGATCTTGTCTTGTTTCCACACATTTTGTAAGACTTGCGTCAAACGACACGCCGAGCAAGTCGACCAAATCAACATCTTCAAGTGTCCTCGATGCAAATCACAGACTTCTCTACAAGAACTAAGCAGCTTCGTTTATTTACAGCCCAGCCTTCTGCATTTTCGAATGTTGAAGGGTCTGGCGTTGATAGAAGGTGAAAAGGGTTGTTCTCTTTCTGAGAGTCATTCGTCAGCTTCTTGGTATTGTTTTGACTGTGATCACTCGATGTGTGACGAATGCGAGAAGAGTCATTCATTGTTCATTAAAGATCACAAGGTCGTTCGTCTGCCTGATTTGAGGAAAGAAGATATTGAGTTCGTAATAACAAGAGAAAATCCGTGTACAAGCCACCCTCGTCACAGGCTAGAGCTCTTCTGCGAAGATTGCGATGCAATGATTTGCAGGACATGCTTGATAGATCACAAGGACCATAAGACAATGTTATTAGATAAGTTTGCTTCGATCAAGAAAGCTGAATTGTCAAAGCATCTGCAGGTATTAGAGCAGTTGAGATTAGATGACAAGGAAAAGCAAGAACAAGAAAAGATTGCTATCACAATCAAACAACAAGGAGAAAAGGCTAAAAAAGAAGTCAAAGACAAAACCAAGAAAATCATCCAAATACTACAAGACAACGAACGAGAAYTGCTGAGACAAATCGATGAGAAATTGGACACAGCCACAACAAACTTGAATATAATTCATCATATTCCAGCCGTTAAGGAATACATCAAGAATGTGATGGAAAGAGGACTGGCAAGTGAAATGATGAAAATTCAAGAGACACAATGTTCTCAGAAATTTGTCTTCAACCCCATTCCACCATACTCTAGAATACAATATGTTGCTAATGAAGAGCTGATGCGACAAGTGAATTCATGGCTGGGAGAAATACAAACTTGTTCCGAAACAGATCATACGAAGAGCACTATTCAGGTGAAATCTGAGACAGAAGCTTTAAAGAAAGAAAACCTGATAGTAACGACTAAAAGCTCTACAGGAGAACTTTATCATGATCCAAAGGATGTTATAGACGTCCAAATCAAGCCTAAAGAAAATGTGAAAATAGAAAAGAAAGATGTGACAATTGATGGTAAAGTAGAAGTTGAATTCATGGCTAAAGTAGCTGGTCAGTTGACAGCAGAGGTTCAAGTGAATGGGAATCATGTATCTAACAGTCCACTAGTGGTGAATGTCAAGCCACAAGAGATGAGGACAACAGGACAGTTTAATGTGAAAGGTGTAAATAGAGATTCTAGTTATTTGAGAGGTATAGCGGTAAACAGAGAGAATAGCAGGATCGCTGTTTCAAATGATTTATCTGAATGTGTCCATGTATTCACCACTGCTGGAGATCTCTTACTGACGTATGGTAGTCGAGATAGAGCACAGGGACAGTGGCCTGAAGGTTTAGCATTTCTGAATGATATAGATTTAGTCATAGCTGATTATGGTAATCACAGAATATGTATAGTGAACACTACAACAGGGACATTGGTAAAAACCTTTGGTAACCAAGGTAACGGGGATGGAGAGTTTCAATGTCCATGGGGTGTACACGTTGATGACGATGGTAACATCATTGTGTGTAATGGTGGTAATCATCGCGTTCAAGTCTTCACAAGAGACGGTGACTATCAATATCAGTTTGGTTTGACAACACAGGACGAGTTTGATCCATGTGATGTGATAACACATGATGGAATGTTTTACGTCACTGATAATGATAATCATGTTATTCATGTATTTGAGAAGAAAGGTAACGTACCGACTAGAATATCGACGATTGGTGGTAAAGGCAGTGCTGATGGTCAGCTGGATAGACCATAGGGCCTTGCTATTGAGAATGACCATCATCTACTCGTGTGTGATTATAATAATAACCGCGTACAAAAATTCACATTTGATGGTCGTTTTGTAGGAAGGACTTGTGACGTAATCGAGGACCCTACATATATAACTGTTTTAAGGGATGGTCAGTTATTAGTTAGTACGGAAGGTTCTGGTGTCTGGTGTGTAATGTAGAATTTGGCTAGTTATTTTACAGTAAGTTATTTGATCGGTATGTCATATTGCATGATATCCTAGTGTTTGACTTGTGCTAAAATATGACCATTTCAAGTTTAAACATTTAATATCTATTTTTATTCTTTTTTACATTTTTTTGCTTGATTTTTTGCTTGAAATTTCAGCTTACACTTGCTTGACAAGTGAAACTTCACGAACTGTTAAAAGCTTAACAGTTCGAAATGGGAAAACACTACACCTTAGCAACAAGCTGTATCAAGCTTGCAGAAATTCACTTCTGCCAAAAATACCATAATTTCTAGAATGTATAGGCTTAGCCTCGGATCCAGGAGCCGGTTGTTTGTTATTCTATGAATGTTTGCTTTTGTTTTCTGTATCAAAAGTGAGGCAAAGCCGCACATTCTAGATATAGTATTTTGAAGAGTACATACATACATACATACACTTTATTGCACTCCCAAAAGGGCTTTTCAGGCCAATTTACAATAAGAAAATACTAAAGAAATACATGTACAATCAAAGAAACTAATAAGAAAAAATATATAATTATTATCCTATAAATAAATCTTATGTATAACTATGTATAATTATTGTTATACTATAGATAAAGTCTTATAGGTCGTGTCTTTTGAGAAAACGATCTAAAAGTAGTTCTTTGAGGGAGGCTTTAAAAGCTTTTGTGGACTTTGAGCCTATTTTGATTAAGGTTGACCGGCTGTTCCAAATTTTAGTACCTTTGTAAGAGAAACTCTGTTGGCCAGTGGCTGTTCTACACTTAGGGATTTGTAGGTCACCTTTCTTTCGAGTGTCCTTTGAGTGAACATCAGAACGCTTTTAGTGACAAACATAGACGAGAGGTAATCAGGAGCCAAGGAGTTCATGCATTTAAACAATAGCAATGCATCTCGTAAGTACATTGTGTCCACAATAGGTAATAACTTTTAAGTAATAACATTGAAGCAACTTAAAAGTTGCTTCAATGTTGGGGTTATGTGCTCGTATTTCCTTTTCCCAGACAGAATACGCGCAGCGAAGTTCTGTACAAGTTGGAGTTTAGAGATGTTACTCTTACTAGTGCTTGACCATACACTGACCATACAGCTTGCTGAAAGCGAGAGAATTTATGACGATGGACAGACTAGACGCATCTAACAGATGGCGGATCCTGCTGATCATGGACAATTTACCCATAAGCGACGATACCAAGGAGTCAATGTGGTCACTAAATGAGAGATGGTTGTCCAATATAACTCCAAGGTCTTTAACTGAGTTAACCACTAATAATTCTTTACCAAGGAACGATATTAGTGGGATGGTGCATCGAGAAAACATTTGTCGAAAGCCAAAAACACAAAACTGCGTTTTGTCTGGATTTATCAGGAGGGAATTATCACTACAACAGGCAGCAACTCTCAGTAGATCATTCTTTAAGTCCCCAAGGCCTTTGGAAGGTTCCCCTTGTGATGTATAATTTGGAATCATCAACAGAGGACTCAACGTCACAGGACTCACACACAGATGGTAAATCATTGATATAAATATTAAATAACAATGGACCCAGTATTGAGCCTTGAGGTACCCCATGTTTTAACACCAGAGGACTGAATAGAGAGGTGTTGATACGTACACGTTGAACTCTGTCGGACAAATAGCTTCTGAACCACTTCAGTACTATGGGAGAGACACCAAGATTGTCAAGTTTCACAAGTAATCTTCCATGGTCAATGCTATCAAACGCTTTTCTAAAGTCAAATAGAAGTGCTGCGGTGATCTTCCTTTCATCAATCGCTCTATACAATTGACTTGTAAAGTAGATTCCAAGCGTTTCAGTGGAGTGAAGCTTCTTGTTCCCGCTCTGATGGGGTGAGAGCAACGCATTGAAACTCAGGTAGCTAGTTAATTGGTCATGCACAATTCTCTCAACAGCTTTCGAAACTGCAGGAAGTAGGGATATCGGTCTATTGTTGCTGGCTACTTCATGATCCCCATCTTTGAGGTGTGGAATAACTTCAGCTGTTTTCCAGGTTATAGGGAAGATTCCACTACGAAGTGATTCATTGATCAAATCAGTGAGAACCTGGATGATGTGAGGTAGACCAATTTTGATCACCCTTATACTGACCTTTTCATGACCAGGGGATTTGTTTGAAGCCATTTGCATGATGGTGTCTCTGACTTTAGTGACAGTAACGCGCTGCTGAAAGTTAAATGAAGGAGAGATTGCCAAAGACGTGCAGCTGCAGCTAAATTCAGGATTCAAAGACAAAGAATCATTGGACTGTAATCTGAAATCATTGGCCAGTTACTGAGCCTTTTGGGCAGCTTTCTCTCCAACAGAAGAGAAAAACGTGCTGAAGTAATTTGCAACCTCCACACAGTCACGTGAATATGGCAAACAGGAGGTGCCAGAGGGGTTGAGACATCGTCGGACAGTTTTCCATATAGACGTCCTGTTTTCTTTGTTGCTCGCTATTTCATCTCTAACATAGTTGGTTTCTACTTTTCTAATCCTCGCTTTAACATCTTGACGAATGTTGCGATAAACTTCCCAATCTCCAGAGTTACAGGAGTTGCGGGCTATTCGATGTAGACTGTCACGATGTTTCATGAGTACCTTTAACTCCGCAGTGATGAATGGAGTTGAAGTATGTCTTACTTTGAGGGTTCTTATAGGGGCATGCTGGACCAAGACCTGAAGAAAAAGGTGGCTAAAGCAATCTACCGTGTCTTCAAGCTTATCAAACAGGCTGGTAACACCCCAAGGAACTATTGCAAGGTCACTAGCAAAGAATTCCGCATTGAAATTCTTGTAGGACCTTGTAGTGATCGAGGTTGGCTTGGCTCTGGCTACCTTAAGGTTGAGTTTTGCATATACTGGAAAGTGATCGCTAATGGTTATATCAAGGACATCACAGAGCTTCACAACACTTGCATTGGAGGTGTAAATGGGATCAATCAGTGTGCTGGAAGACTCATTAACCCGGGTGGGCTTGGAGACTAATTGTGTCAAATTTTAAAAGGCAGTAAAGTTCTTGATAGCAGTGGTCTCCGGGATATCACAAAATAAGTTGCAGTTCAAGTCACCTGTTATGAAAATATATTTTCCAAGTGTTAGAGCTTGGCAGTACGCGGGGACAAGTTTATCTTCTAGACAAGATATGGGACAGCCAGGGGTTCTGTACACTATGCAAAGGATAATTGATTTAAGTTTCTTGTGCTGTAGCTGGATCCAATACTGCTGAAACCCGTCAATGGTAAATTATGTAAGATCTTATAAACGGTTGACCTTCAGGAGGTTGCGAACATAGGCACAAACTCCACCACCTGCTTTGCCAACTCGATCAGATCTTATAAGCCGGAACCATTGATGTTTATTTCCGTGTTCTTAACGGTGGTATTAAGCCATGTTTCAGAGATGGTAAATACATCGAAGTCATTGTTGTCCATGGGTTCTTTGACCTGGAGGAAATTTTCGCGATTCTTCAGCGAGCGCACATTCAAGTGTGAGGTAGTAACATCATGCGTCAAGGTCTTAGGATGATCGATTCTAAGCCTCCGGTTCACAGTAGGGAGGGTATAGCAAGGAGTACGGGACCTACGTTGACTACGGTTTTTACACTCTATTCGTTATTCTTGTAGGTATTCGATGGTTGGTAGGTCCAGGTTAGTAGAAATATCTCCACCCCTTAACAGCACTTGTCTTGAGGAGCATGAATTAGGGTAATACACACATCGTCCCTTGGTTCTTTTGGGCTTCCTGTGTGCATATTGTGTAGTGAATATATAGAACACCGTTAGGCTAGTGAGATTAAACAAAGCCACGCGCAAGCCATTTCAAACATTTCGTGCGCGTTAGTATTGTTATACTGAAGAAGATCTGTGATCGAAACGTCTATGTGTAAAACTTTATTAAAACATATTAACCTAACTGAAAAGTATAAAATAATAAAGTAGCTGATGTCAAAAAATTATCTCACCCTTAAAGATTTGGCATAAGGTAATCAATTTGCATATTCATTAATATTAATGCCAATACTGCAAGAGGTATTGTGTTATTATGTCATAGCTCATAAATAGCTGTACGGTTGCGCAATAGGATGGGATAAAATAGTATTTTCATAAAAGATTCTTGGGTTATCAATGTAATATTAACATTGCTATTTTTGTTCATAATTATTATTGTTTTACGTTCATGATTTTTTTAAAATTTTCTATTCATTGTTATATTACACCTTTTGCTGTTCATTAACCGCAAAGGAATATTCATTGAAGCGAAGAAGCGTTGTCATTAGAGCGAACAGGCATACAATAAGTCAAACGGAGTCTCAATAGTGCGATGGAACGTTCATTAAGAAATTTAGCATTGAATTTATAGCAATAAATCTTTGTAAAAATTAAAGTACACAATTCTGCTTCCTCTTTCTGACACTAGTGCTTATTGTTAAGTATTAGCTTTTGTTTCTGAAAATAAACGACGGCCATAATTGCGTTAGGTCTATTCATTTTTTTTTTTACCATGGTTTCTTGTAACTTCCAAAACCCAAAAAACGACTCGACGTACACCTAGTACTCGTTTTATTATTTTCTATGTGTTTTCACATTGATATTTTTCATATCTTGAAATAAATATTCCAATGCATTTGATAACTTCCTCACACTGTGAGTACACCCCGCGGAATCCAAGTGCTCTTCTAATTTATTCAGTTATGACTAATAACTAATTTCTAGAAAATACTTCACTTCGCTTTAAATTCCAAGAAACACTATATTCATACTATGAATAACAAGGTATCTCAAATTCGGCTCTTGCAGCATCTCCGCTAGAGACCCAATAAATAAATCGTATACTAAATTATGCAATCGATATGATTATGAATTCACACCATTTCAAGGATGTATGGTTACGTGCTATTTCCAATAATCACCTGATCATAGACGTCTGACAAACATCATCAGATCTTTTTATAGAGCTCCCTAGACTCGTCTCGTCTCAACTCTTGAAGATATGCAATCGTTTGTTGAAGAACTTAAGGAGGAACTCCGATGTTCCCTGTGTAATGATACTTTCACTGAACCAAATATCTTGTCTTGTTTCCACACATTTTGTAAGCCTTGCGTCAAACGACACGCCGAGCAAGTTGACCAAATCAACATCTTCAAGTGTCCTCGATGCAAATCACAAACTTCTCTATCAGAACTAAGCAGCGTCGAAGATCTACAGCCAAGTCTAATGCATTCAAGAATCTTGAAGGCTCTGGCGTTGGTAGAAGGAGAAAAGGCTTGTTCTGCTTCTGAGAGTCATTCCTACGCTTCTTGGTATTGTTTTGACTGTGATCACTCGATGTGTGATGAATGCGAGAAGAGTCATTCGCTCTTCCTTAAAGATCACAAGGTCGTTCGCCTGGCGGATTTGAAGAAAGAAGATATTCAGTTCGTAATCACAAGAGAAAGTCCTTGTACAAGTCACCCTCAGCACAGGCTAGAATTCTTCTGCGAAGATTGTGATGCAATGATTTGCTTGACATGCTTGAGAGATCACAGGATTCATAAGACAATGTCATTACATGAGTTTGCTTCGATCAAGAAAGCTGAATTGTCAAAGCATCTGCAGGTACTAGAGCAGTTGAGATTAGATGACAAGGAAAAGCAACAACAAGAAAAGATTGCTAACRCAATCAAACAACAAGGAGAAAAGGCAAAAAAAGGAGTCAAAGACAAAACCAAGAAAATCATCCAAATACTACAAGACAACGAACGAGAATTGCTGAGACAAATCGATGAGAAGTTGAACACAGCCACAACAAACTTGAATATAATTCATCATATTCCAGCCGCCAAGGAATACATCAAGAATATGATGGAAAGAGGACTGACAAATGAAATGATGAACATTCAAGAGACACAATGCTCTCAGATATTCATCTTCAACCATATTCCACCATACTCTAGAATACAATATGTTGCTAATGCAGAGCTGATGCGACAAGTGAATTCAGGGCTGGGAGAAATACAAACTTGTTTGAAAACAGACCCTACTAAGAGCACTATTCAGGTGAAATCTAAGATAGAAGCTTCAGAGAATAAAAAGCTGTTAGAAGAAGCCAATCATGATCCAAGGGATGATATCGACGTCCAAATCAAGCGTGAAGAAAATGTGAAAATAGAAAATAAATACTTGACAACTGATGGTAAAGTAGAAGTTGAATTCATGTCTACAGTACCTGGTCCGTTGACAGCAGAGGTTCAAGTGAATSGGAATCATGTATCTAACAGTCCACTAGTGGCGAATGTCAAGCCACAAGTGATGAGAACAACAGGACAGTTTAACATGAAAGGTGTAAATAGAGATTCTAGTTTTTTGAGAGGTATAGCAGTTAATAGAAGCAATAACAGGATCGCTGTTTCAAAAGATTCTTCTGACTGTGTCCATGTATTCACCACCGATGGAGATCTCTTACTGACGTTTGTTAGCCAAGATAGTGCACAGGGACAGTGGCCTGAAGGTTTAGCATTTCTGAATGATATAGATTTAGTCATAGCCGATTATGGTAATCACAGAATATGCATAGTGAACACTACAACAGGGACATTGGTAAAAACCTTTGGTAACCAAGGTAACGGGGATGGAGAGTTTTATTTTCCATGGGGTGTACACGTTGATGACGATGGTAGCATCATTGTGTGTGATGGTGATAATCATCGTGTTCAAGTCTTCACAAGAGACGGTGACCATCAATATCAGTTTGGTTTGACAACACAGGACACGTTTGATCCAATTGATGTGATAACACATGATGGAATGTTTTACGTCAGTGATTGTAATAATCACGTTATTCATGTATTTGAGAAGAAAGGTAACGTACCGACTAGAATATCGACGATTGGTCGTGAAGGCGGTGCTGATGGTCAGCTGAATAGACCATGGGGTCTGGCTATTGATAATGACTATTACCTACTGGTGTGTGATTATGGTAATAACCGCGTACAAAAATTCACATTGAATGGTCGTTTTATAGGAAAGACTTTTGACGTAATCGAGGACCCTACATATATAACTGTTTTGAAGGATGGTCAGTTGTTAGTTAGTACGTCGGGTTCTGGTGTCTGGTGTGTAAAGTAGAATTGACTATTATTTTCTGTATCATACTTTGATTGGTTTGACAAATGGATACCACAGTGTTTGAAATGTCCTTAAATATGACCATTTGGAGTTAAATATACATTTTATAACTATTTTTATTATATATCTAGGATAGTACGCGCGCGCTGATTGCTCAAAAACTGTGCTTCAAGCTGGTGTCCATTTCATTAGATTTTAACAATTGTTGCAGTTGCTGTACTCTTTAAACTTACTTCTCCTACAGTCGGCGCCATTTTGTTGCGCGTCATATCGGCGATGGACATGTTACACAAATCGATTTGCTGAAAATTCGTTATCTTGCGTTGCAGCCATTTTTGAATTGAATTTGAATTTGAATTTTTGGGTTAGAAGCTAATCGCTTAAATATGGAGAGGGAGTCATAAGTCAATTTGGGGTTTTGCTTGCTATTAAATTGAAAATATGCATATAAATGTATTTAAAATAAGCATTCATTTTTATATTGTTTACTGTATAAAGAACACAACTTGTCACAGGTGGAACCTCAAAGCCAAATGTGTTGAAATATAATGTATAAACTGAGTATCCTTTGTAATAAAAACAGTACAAAAAACAGTMACTAAAAACAGTACAAGTCACAACTTTCTATACTGTACTGTGGTAAAGCTATGCCACATTGATTGACTGTATATAAGACAACTGACTATGTCGTGTCTTTTTTGTCATCTTTTGAGATGACAGCGAAACGTTGTCTTTTACGACTAGCATTCTTATTGAATAATTAATTGTTCTCTATCAGTCGGTGACAATCGCACGATGGAGAGCAAAATTCACATTTGTCTTCGCGTTATACGCCAGGAAAACAAGAGCCGTTTTACATCATATTTCATCAAGGATGTCCCAAATATCGACAACGCGCAGGCGCTAAAAGATTTTCTGCTTGAGCGCCGTTCAGACGAGATATCGCCGGCTACAGAGAGTAGCTTCGAAATAGGTTGCTTTGGGGATAAGAGCCAAAAAAATAGTGTTTCCAGTCCAGTACAACTTGTTCAAGACGTGTTAGATAACATAAGCGGCAGCTAATAACTGTGAATTAATTATCCCCATGATCCTGTTCGGTCTGGGCGCGTAGGGATGAAGCCGATCAAACGACAACGTTTAGTCAAAGGACTGTATATAAAGACAGAAAACTGTAGTAAATGTAAAACCCGGTTCATACGTCGAACTTTTCATGCGCCGAACCAAATGTTAAGAATTAAGATCATGAAAAGTACGACGTCTGAACCAATTAAGTTCGACCATAACATTGAGATCGACTGAAGTGGTCGGGAATTGCGACTTCAGAGCTACTCTGATTCAAACGACGAACTTTTCATGAACCGAACCTAACGCATATGTTATATTTAATCGCAAAAAGGGGAGGGAGGGGGGGGGGGACAAGCAGGTTTATCATGAGCTGTGCGCATAAACATCAACATGGCTTCCTGTGTTATATGAGAGGCTCGGCAGCTGGTTCCGGACCTCGGGAAAGCAAAATGGCGTCCGATGATACGTGTAATTTGTGTTTTGCAACAACGAAATACGCTTGTATTTCTTGTGAAATGCCAATATGCAATAAGTGTTCATGTTTTGAAAGTGACGAAGAATAGCCTGGTTGGGTTGCAGGAAGAAGTATAGGATGGCCGAGCCGGGGAATTCGGCACTGCGGAAGAGTCTGATTTCTATATTACCGTATGTTAACCGCTGTCCTAAATGCTTGACTTGGAAAAATCTAATTGGATTGACTGAATTTGGTACGACGTCCGAATCAATTAAAGTAGATATTTGACGATCTTTGGTCGATCCTCAACGTGTTAGGCTCGGTTCATGAAAAGTTTGACGTATGAACTGGGCCTAATAGTTTCATGAGAGGTTTCGGCCTTCTTCCTCAGCAAAAAACTGTAAATTTGCAAAATAGCTCAACGTCTTATAAAATTAATTATAGTTAGAGTTACTATTCTTCGATTGCACTTTACGTCATCGCGGCCATATTGGTACCATTTAACAAAAGATTTCTCATTAGCATCCATTGTTAACGGTACCACAATGGCCGCCATGTTTTTGTTTTTTAACTCTCTTAGGAATGCCTGCAACCCATCAATTTTCCTTATTCATTCAGATTGTGAAAGACAGACAGTCGACTACGAAACCTAGTTATTGTTTATCGAAAACCTGACTTAGTTTGAAATGGGATTAATGTTCATGAACTTTTAAAAAATGTTAGTGCATATTATGTGTTTTTGATTTTCATTCTTCTTCTTCTTGATTTCCGCCTTAGCGTCCATTAATGGTCATCTATAAAATTCTGTCAAATTCACAGAAGACAAGGTATTATAATGGTTGATCGCTTGCCTTTAGGTTTTGAAACTCGGTCCCAGACCCCAAATTTTATCCCTAAATTATAGCGGAGCACCATACCTAAGAAAAAGTGGTAAACTATCGAGTTGATTTTTCATGGATTGGCTGACGTCACTTCCGTCCGTCCGTCCGTCCGTCCGGGCGTGTACACAAAGATCCCGATTGGCTGGTGGTTAGATTATCTTTTTTTTTTGGCGGGAATGTCGACGCGTTGCAACATCCGGGTACACATAAAGTTAAATCCGGCTATTAAACTTTTGTAAAAAACGTTTTACACCTTTTATTATATTACGTGTAGAAATACCGAAAGATAACAACACAATTTTTTATCCAAGCTTATATATTTACTCTGTTTACGATGGAACCCCTTTCCGAAATCGATATGTCGAAAGAAAGCTTAGAGGAGAATGAAGCCAAAAAAGAAAGGCCTGAAGTAAAAGAGTTTTTTTCGGAAGAGGAAAAACTCTGGAGGCGTGAAAAAGAAAGGCAAAGACGAAGGAATGTCACCAAAGAAAAGCGGCAAGCAGAGAGAGAGAGAAAACGCAAATCCAGGCGGGACTTCGAATATGAACAAGGAGAACATGATCGTGAAAGAAAAAGGAATATGTGGCAAAACGTGACGGATGAACAAAGAGAAAATGAACGTGAAAGACAAAAGGAATTTGAGGCAAAACTACTAGCTAAGGCGACTCTCAAATGCACAGAAAAAAACGCTTTAGGGCAAGTTATAGACCAAAGACAATTAAAAAAACTTTCATGTATTCAAAGATGGATTAAGAAGTGTTCTCCAAGAATTCAGGTGTGTTGTTTAGCAAACAATCGTTTATTATTTTTTGACAAGCATTTTT